CATATTATGCGACTTACTTCGTCAAGATGGGAGGGTAAAAACTGATGGTTTGGTGTCTGTAGAGGAACAGGTGTGTATGACTTTACAAATATTAGCACATCATACTAAGAATCGTAGTGTTGGCGGTAGATTTTTATAGGTCGGGAGAGACTATAAGTAGGTATTTCAATAGCGTATTGCAAGGAATTTTGCGATTACAAGGTATCCTACTAAAAGTCCCCCAACCTGTGCCTATTGATTCTACAGATCCTAGGTGGCGATGTTTTAAGGTATGATGAGAAATTTTTGTCATTTTCCCTAAGCTTTAACTCTTCATTCCCTTTGTATAAATTAACAAAAACTTTTTTATTTTTTATTTTTAAGAATTGCTTGGGAGCATTGGATGGAACACACATTGATGTGCATGTACCTGAAATTGACAAACCAAGATACCGAACAAGAAAGGGTCGAGTCGCAACTAATGTGTTAGGTGTGTGTTCAGGAGATATGCAGTTCATATATGTGTTTCCGGGGTGGGAGGGTTCCGCATTAGACTCTAGAGTGCTACATGATGCAATTAGTAGGCCTAATGGTTTTAAGGTACCAGCGGGTAAGACTATTACGTAGTCTCAACTTTGTAAGTTAGGTTTAGTTCTGTTTGTCAACTACAAAACACTAATAAGGTCTGTTTTTTTTTTCATTAGGTTGTTATTACCTTGTAGATGGTGGTTATACAAATGGTGAAGGATTCCTTGCACACCTATAGAGGAATACCTTATCATTTATCTGAATGGGAGGGACGAACACCTTCTAATAAGGAAGAATATTTTAACATGAAGCATTCTAAGGCAAGGAATGTAATTGAACGCTGTTTTGGCTTGCTAAAAGGAAGGTGGTCGATACTAAGGAGTCCATCTTTCTATCCGATAAGGACACAAGGTCGAATAATTACCGCTTGTTGCCTACTACACAATCTTATTAGGCAAGAGATGTCTGTAGATCCAATGGAGAATTTGCCAATAATAGAAGATGGACAAAATACAGAAGAAGGTGAATATGTTGGTAGTGTTCAAACATCGGACCAGTGGACTGCAATGAGGAATGATATGGCTCAGGAAATGTATAATGAGTGGAGAGCAATTAGGAACCAGCAACCGAACTAGCTATATGTGTTAATGATAACATTTTTATTTTAGTATTCCTTTTTATCATGCATTTGTTAGATATTAGCACAATGATTGGATGGTATGCAAATTAATTGGATATTATGCAAGTTGATTGGATATTATGCAAGTTGATTGGATATTATGCAAATTGATTATTTGTATGGTATTTTCCTTCATTAAAATATTTTTTGTTTAGGTATGGATAACGAAATTTTTTTGAATGCTACTCAAGAGCCAAAAGGAAGAAGGCGTAAATGGGAAGCATTTGAGGAAGAAGTATTACTCGGAGTTCTTGAGGATTTTGTTGCTCGGAAGCAACGGTGTGACACCGGTGCTTTCAAACAAGGTACTTTGGTTGAAATAGCAAAAGCTGTCAATGTTTTATGTCCTCATTCAAATATAAAGGCAAATCCACATATTGAGTCCAAGTTGAAGAAATGGAAAAAAACATATAGTATGGTCGTTGACATGATAAACACAAGTGGATTTGCATGGAATGATGTCAAAAAGTGCGTTGAAGTTGACAGTGATGACGCATGGCAAACTTATGTGCAGGTTCATATCCTATTTTATTTATGCATTAGTTATATTCTTGCTGCTATATTTGTTACGCATGCTAAATTTTAGTTTTGCTATGTTGATATAATCTTAGAGAAATAAAGAAGCCGATGGATGGAGAAGCAAACCTTTTCCACTGTTTGATAGATTTGCATATATATTTGTAAAAGATCGGGCTACGGGTAATGTAGCCGAAACCCCTGCTCAAATGGTGGAGGAACAAAGTCATGATCATGTTGGTGAAAGTGATATTGGAGGTGATAATTTTGTTTTCTTCAATGAACCAACAAAGCCAACAAAGCACCCCATCTGAAAATAGCCAAAGAAAGAGGAAAAGAGCTGTGGGAAGTTCAAGTGATGGAACCGAGGCAATTATCAGTGGACTGAAAGATTTTTATGTTGAAAGTGGGAAGAGGATGCAAATGGTAACTGAAGCTTTAGTTCAAGGTACTGCAGATCATACTGACATAGCTAATGAACTTGAAGCAATGGGTCTCTCCTATGGATCAAATTGATGCATTGTCTCTTATTTTGGATAAACCAAAAAATGTGGGAGTGTTCAGGGCAATCAAACCGGAACTCAAGAAAGTGTTCGTCCAAAGGCTTTTAAGCGACAACGCAAGCGGATGAGGATTTTGGCTAATGTTAACATGGATGTATTTTATTAACGTTAACATGGATGTATTTTATTAATCATACAATCTTATGTTATGACTTATAACTTAGCTTTGCACTAGTATTTTGGCTTATGTTAACTAGCCATTTTGTAAATTATGGAGATCTATTTTGGCTAATGTTAACTAATGTTAACTAGGATTTTCTAAATTATGGAGATCTTATGTACTTGTATTTGTTGAAGTTGCATGTATTGGCCACTATTATTTTTCTTCTGTTGGGTGATAGAGTTTAAATCAAGCTACATTTGCAAATTAAACCCAATTCTATTAGCAGGTAATAGAAACAAAACAATTGTCAATTTTTTTTAAGATTCATAATATACATGGTAAAAATATGCTCCAATTAACCCATATCATGAGATTTGTAGCTTTACTCTATTACACAATGGCAAAAATTTAGTCCTAGTCTAAGCAAACACAAATCTGGTGAACAGTACTGTTTTTCTTATCCTGCTTCTTAGTCCGAGACTGCACCAAACGCTTCACTAAGTTAGTCCAGCTTAGTCCAGTCTAAGCCAGTCCAGCTTAGTCCCGGCAGCTAGTCCAGTTCGAGACAGTCCGGCGCAACAAACGCACCCTAAGTGTTTAAAGTATCACTGACATGTTTACTTACCAAGTTACTATGAATAGAAATGCAATCTATGAGTTTCATTTGTTATATAACATATGTTTATTAACATACAAGGAATGAGAAAATAATTAAGTGTGTTGAACAAAGGTACATACATACCTTCTATATATATGTGTCCGATAAAGGGAGGGATCCTGATTTTTTTTTAAATAGAGATTAGTTGTGGGATCCATTTTACATTGAACTTCAATGATCTGAACAGTGTATTAAAAAAATGGGGATTAGATGCACAAAGCCGGAGGGGTATTGGAACAACGTAAATCCGATCGTGAATCTGCAAGAAATTAAATAACACAAGATGTATCGTGGTTCACCCCAATGTTTAGGTTACGTCCACACTGATATTGTATTTCTCTGAGAGGATTGTGATGGATAGAGAGCTTCTGAGGGTGAGAGAGCTCCTTTCTGATTGTGAGGGTGAGGAGTCCCTTTTATAGAATAAGGGTTTCTCACTTATTACATATTTGCCCCTTCCTTTATTACATAATTACATTTAAGTCCCCCGAGTATTTATACGAGATCTAAATAAAGAGGCCCTAAGTATGGTACAAATAGTAGTCCCCCAAGTCTTCAGTCAAGAGAGTTTTTTGGCTGGAAACTTGAAATTCAGTCCATGTGTGGGCCGAAGTAACTAGATGTTGTCTAGAACTGAATACTCGATATAAGGCGGTGCTCAATCTGAAATGATGCTCAACTAGAAGTAGCATATGTTGCGAGGCTGCTCGGCTTGTGGCTTATGTTGCCTTGGTTGGCTGGGCTTGTGGCTTTGAAGGTGAGGGAGTCCCTTTTATAGAATAAGGGCTTGCTCCTCAATACATAAATGATGGGCTAGAGCTGATGCTCGTGGCGAGGCGATTGCTCAGTAGGCGGCGATGCTTTCTAATGATGGTGAGAGAGTCCCTTTTATAGAATAAGGGCTCGCTCTTCAATACATAAGTGATGGGTTATGAGTGATGCTCGTGGCGAGGCGGTTGCTCAGCTGGCGGCGATTGTCTCTAATGAAAGTGAGGGAGTCCTTTTATAAAATAAGGGTTCGCTCCTCAGTACATGAAGAATAGATGCTCTTTAATGAAAGTAAAGGAGTCCCTTTTATAGAATAAGGGCTCGCTCCTCAGTACATAAATAATGGGCTAAGTCCTCCAAGTATTTTTCATGAGGCTCAGTTGAGGCCCAATATATGGTACATAATGTAGTCCCTCAAGTCTTCGGTCAATAGAGTCTGTTGGCTGGAGACTTCAAATTGAATCTATGTATGAGCCGAAAGTGGCGATTGTTCGGAAGCGGTATTTGTATACCCTGCACTAAAGCTTTGTAGGTGAAGCTTTTGAAGCTGGAACTTTGTAAATAAAGCTTTTGAAGCTGGAGCTCTGTAAATGAAGCTTTCGAAGCTGATTGACATGAGTGATGCTTATGAATGTTTATATTGATTGACATGAGTGATACTCATAGATGTTGACATGAGTGATGCTCATGAATGTTGACATGAGTGATGCTCATGAATGTTGACATGAATGATGGTCATGAATGTTTATGTATGATTGACATAAGTGATGCTCATGAATGTTTATGTATGATTGACATGAGTGATGCTCATGAATAATTTTGGAGTACTGGACGTACTTTTGATCACCTGGTTGGTGATAATAGCGGCAGGCTGCCGAATAATTTTGAAGTACTGGGCGTACTTTTGATCACTTGGTTGGTGATAATAGCGGCAGGCTACCGAATAATTTTGAGTACTGGGCGTACTTTTGATCACCTGGTTGGTGGTAATAGCGGTAGGCTGCCAAATAATTTTTTGTAGTACTTGACATACTTTTAATCACCTGGTTGGTGATAATAGAGGACCTGGCTCTTTTGGGCATATGGGTCTTTGCCCTCCATATAACATTCCAGCCTATTATTTTGGGCTTGCCTTTTTAATTTTTTTTTTTATTATTATTACCCTCTAATGGGGTTTATACAGATGTCTCCGAAAGATAAGAAAAATAAATTACATCATTCAAAAATAAAATTTACCCTCTGCTTAATGGGTTACGCCCATAATTCCTTTTTTTTTTGCATGCCATCACCATCACAATTATGTCTGCTTCTTTTTATCTTCTTTTGCTTTCTGCTTTTCTGCTTTTGTTTCCCACTCTTCCTCTTTTTCTTTTTTTGAAACATTCTCTTAACAACATCATGATTTTTTCTTTTTTCTATTCTGTTCCTTTATCCAGCAAGCCCACTTGACAGCGGATTGCACGTTACTCTCCAGCTCTTTCCTTTTTCTTTTATTCCATTTTTGCTTTCTCAAAGCTGGTTGATGATTTTCTTGCTCTGTGCATTGAAGGCAATGATTAAAGGAGACAGGGAACCTTGGTAGGCATCTTCTTATCTTATTCATGAGTGCTTCCTGTGGGTTTTTTTTTGCAGAAATCTTGTTCTGCTCGGCATCTGACCGCTTTCAAATTCGGGGCGGAAGTCGGGTCCGGACCGAAACTTCTATCCTTGCATACTGAAACTGAGCAATGTCAATCTGACCAAAAAGCTTGGGATCAGAGACCAAGTCCTTCAACTTGGCAGTCCTGGGATGATGCAGCCACATGCTGCCATCCATGAACTGTACACCGTTGGATTTGCATGCTTCCAGTATCTGATCAAACAGCTGAAGAGCTTCGAGAAACTTGTCGTGCTCCTGCTCCATCCAGCTCTTCTCATTCGAGATCTCGTATTTAATACGACACCAGAGCTTCCATCTTCCATCAAAGTGACTTCACTAGACACATAATTTTGAAATTCAGGGTGAAGCCCTCTTTGAATCTTTCCAGGTGGCGGAGCGATTTCTGAAACTTCTGGATCATCCTAAACACTATTGGTTTTAAAAATTCTGAAGAGAGTGTTTGGAGAAGAATGAGAGAGCGAGAGAAGCCCTCTGCGACGGTCATGAAGTCAGATCCTCAATCAGGTTCTGCATCCAAGGATGATTCCGGATCCGGGTCGGAGACCGAGTCCGATAACCACTCGCCGCCAGCTTCCGACTTCACCGTCAAGCCGATCGTCTTCAAGCCCGAGAACAACGTTGTTATGCCCAGCAAGAAGACTGCTTCGGCGAAGCCTGCTGCCGCGCCCAGTTCCGGGTCGAAGCGACCGGCGGAGACCAAGCCCAGCTTGAAAAATTCCAAGAAGAAGAAGGTCGGCGGCGACGATGAAGATAAGATCAGGAGATTGAAGAAGAAGTACCAGGCTGGAGAGGATGGCGATGACCTGGTGTTTTCGAAGCCCTATGAGCTTAAGTGCTTTGAGTTATGCAAAAAGACTTGGGGTTCTGAGGCTTAAAAAGGTGAGCTTTGTAGACTGAAGAGAGAGAGAAAGAGAGAGTCTAAAGAGAGAAAGACAGAGATTGGAAGAGCTAGAAAGAGAGTATTCATTTATTCATTTTTGAGAGATGGGTTTTGCAATGATTTTGGTTCCTGGGTTTCTGCAGATTCACGGTGGAGGTGAAAAAATGAAAGAGAATGGACATAACTTTTAGTATCGTTTCCCACAGATGGTGCCAAATGTTGATGTACAAAACCGGAGGGGTCTTGGAACAACGTAAATCCGACCGTGAATCTGCAAGAAAGTGAATAACACAAGATGTATCGTGGTTTACCCCAATGTTTGGGCTACGTCCACACTGATATTATATTTCTCTGAGATGATTGTGAGGGAGAGAGCTCATTTCTGATGACCTAAGAATTGGCCTCCCCTAATGAGGAGAGTGATGAGTCATTTTATAGAATAAGGGCTCCTCACTTATTACATATTTGCCCATTCATTTATTACATAATTACATTTGAGTCATCCAAGTATTTATACGAGGTCTAAATACGGAGGCTCCAAGTATGGTACAAACAAGTTGTGTGTACAAACACTTTGCAGACGTGCGTTGTCCGTTCGAGGACAACCAAATTTTACAAGTATTTACAATGTACGTGATTGTACGGAACTTGAGGGAGCACTTATGTGAAGGAAAAACTTATGACTTTGATTGTACAAGTCAGAGATATAGTTAGTAAGTCTGTTTGTATTTGGTTAGAGCTGTTAGATTTTCTGTTATAAAAACAGAGTTATGTAATCATTCTGTAATGTGAATACAAGTCTCATATTTCTCTCTCTTAATTCTCTAGTTCACCTTTCTCTCTATTACTCTTTCTTCTTCAGTTTCTCTACAATTCTCAAATATTTCAGTTTAGTTAACAAAGGAAAGAGCTCGATCTCAATCTGCATTGAGAACTTGTCAAGGTAAAGTAAGTTTAGAGCAAATCGTGGGGCAACGATATGAGAAAAAGACTCGAGGAACTCAAGGGAGATTCTTTGTTCTTTGGTCATGATGGAGAACTTCATCGTTCTAGAAGTAACTTGCATTTTTGGGCACGTTGAAATTTTCTATTTCCACACGTTGTAATGTCACACTCTTCTTGCATTTTGGAATGGTTATATAACCAATGCATTAAGTTAACTCAAACCAAATATTCGAATAATTTAACCAATTGGCAAATCCTGTATGTTAGGAAGAGTTTAAATCTGAAAGACAGTAAATTAATGAGAAAATCTCTAATTAATTAGAGCAATCCACTACTTACCCGTCTTTACCAATTAAAATAATTTAGAATATTGTTGAACAAAAAAAATTATTAGAATTATTTAAGAAAACCCGAAAATATAAGTAATTAGAAAGAAAAAAAAGAGAAACGTGAAAACGCACTTGGAAAATACTCATCGATGTCATCGTTCAAAGCACGCACAAAAAGAATATTATTGGCATTCTTACTCAAAATTCTTCGTTGTTGATTTACTGGATTTCGTGTTTATGATCAGAATCGTTCATATTATAAATGCCTACGATCTTTGTAAAAAAAAACAATTAAAACTAAGGTCAATTAGTCATAATTTTTTTTTAGTATATCGATATTTTTACACTAAGAGGAAGGGGAGTTTAGCTAAGCCACACAAATGTCATCTACGAAATTTGAACCTAAGATCTCTCACTTCTAAGTAAAGGAAGAATACCATCAAACCGTAGTACTGAGTAACATCAATTGTATAAAAATAGATAGACGAATTTGTTAAGAGTATTTAGAACTATTTATTTATTTGTTATAATTCATTGACTAAACATTTTTAATTTTATAAAATGATTGAAAAGTTTTGAGTAGGTGTCTTCGATGAGTAGGCAAGCATTGTTCGCAGAAAAATGTTCCACATGTGAAGGGTGTCCACACTTTGGGAAAACCAGTCTAAACCACAAGTTCGTAAACCCCTCGTTAGGGTTTCTACTTTTCTCAAAAGGGTCTCTCTCTCTCTCTCTCTACTCCCTTCTTCTTCCTTGATTTTCCAACTCCGTGACCGCACAGTCTCACCAAATTCCACGGATTCTATAAGATTCTCTTCAAACCGCCAAAACCCATGTGAGATCAGCTATGTTCTGCCCGACCCAAATTCACAGACAGGGGAAAGATTGAAGCTTTCTAGAGGCAGAAGGAGATAAGGATAGAGAGAGGGTTTTGGATATGGAAGCTCGAGTTGGGGTGGTGATGGAAGGAAAGCAGAGAGCTTCGAATTCAGCTCAGGGAGGCGTGGTGGATGGGGGCGCCAGGAAATTCTTGCAGCAGCAGAGCCAGGCGAAGCAGTCCCTGAATCAGCAGTCCCAGATAGGGACGGTGAACCAGCTTTTAGCTGGCGGTATCGCCGGTGCTTTTAGCAAAACCTGCACTGCGCCTCTTGCTCGCCTCACCATCCTCTTTCAGGTTCTGTTCTTATTAATTTCAATGAATTTTTTGTGCTAATTATGTTGGTATTATTGTTTTGTGATATGGGTTATTTTGGGTTTGTGTTTTCAAGCATTATTGATGTTTGATGAATGGGATTCTAAGTGTTAAAAGTTGGGGCTCTGTTTTTCTAATGTGGGATATGAAATAAAGGGTTTTATTCTCTGAATTTTTAGTTTTAGTTTCTTGTAAGAATTATGGAGAGTTGAGATTATGGCAAAAGAAAATACAGGGCACGGTGTGTTGAAGCTTGAAGATGTTTAATTGCTTTTGTTGGATTGGTGTTAGTTAAAAAATGTTCTTTTACACTTGAAAATTGACAAAAGTTTTGGGAGTATTTTTGTGTGGAAATGACATGCGTAAGATAAATATTGCTAGAAAAAAGAAAGTTTGTTTTGGTGATTTGGTGTCGAGTAGAGCCGTGGAAGTTGTGTTGGAATCTGGGGTTTAAGAAAATGATTAAGAGCAGAGGCGTTTTCCGTATTATTCAATTGCTCGTGGGTTTATGTTTTGCAATGATGTTTGTGGTGGGAAGCTCATTTCATTTCATTCCTATGTAGCTATTTATACTTAAGGCTGGCTATCATCCTTAGTTTAGAAAGATGAATTAACCTAATGGCACACTTTGACGAGGGACTTCTAGTTCATGGAACTTAGGCTAAATTTGTTAGGAACGCACTATAAAAATTAGAGAGGGACTTGAAAGTCACTAGATGCAATACATTTCAGAGAAATTTCAAAAGACACATTGAAAGGCTAATTTGTATTGCATTGGTAGTGTTTCAGTAGTTTGTAGTGCATTTTTGACAATTGAGCCTAAAGTTCCTTGGAAATTTGAAGCCCTCGTCCAAACATTGGGCAAGGATGGACAGTTCCATATCATTATGTGTGATGGGATTTTGTTGAACTTTTCTCTCGTGCGGTGCTAGCGATGTTCCTGTTTGATGGTGGTTAGTTTACTAATCCATCATTTACTTCGATTAGGTGCAAGGAATGCACTCTGATATTGCAACATTGAGTAAGGCTAGCATATGGCATGAGGCTTCACGTATTATCCATGAAGAAGGGTTTAAAGCATTTTGGAGAGGCAATCTGGTTACCATTGCTCATCGCCTTCATATTCTGCCGTCAGTTCTATGCTTATGAACGCTACAAGACCGTGAGTTAATACATGCCTGGACTGAATTCTAAGCTTGTTGAGTACAAATCAATGTTGTCCTTGCAGTTTGCTCTGGTTTCATCTGACCTCATTTTATATTGCAGTTGCTGCATTCACTTGTTGATGAAAATTTTAGGGGTAATGCAAGTACTGACATGTGTGTGCACTTTCTCGGTGGTGGGATGGCAGGGTTAACTGCTGCCTCAGCCACATATCCACTGGATCTTGTGAGGACACGTCTTGCAGCCCAGGTATTGCTAAGATTTTTTTTGTGGGTTAAGAATTAAGAACTAAGAAAAGACATCTGATTCTCAGTGTAATGTTGATTTATAACTTTCATTCCCTTCTAATTTTTTTTCAGTTTGAGTTCATTAGTGTATTCCAATTTTGTAGAGAAATGCACTATACTACAGAGGTATTGGACATGCATTTCATACAATTTGCATAGAAGAAGGTTTTTGGGGATTGTATAAAGGACTTGGAGCGACACTTTTGGTATGCTTTATTTGCACATTTTTTCATTTTTTCATCTTTTATGGTTCATTTCTTCATTCCGTTGACACTAAATTCTATTTTTCTTCTTGCTGCGATACAGGGTGTGGGACCCAGTATAGCAATAAGCTTCTCAGTTTATGAGGCTTTGAGATCTTTTTGGCAGTCCCAAAGGTAAAGACTGCATATCTGGTTGATTTGAGGCTGAGCTTCTCTATTCCTTAAGTTGTAATATTGTAGTTTTTAATTCTATTGACATCAGGCCCAATGATTCGACTGTTGTGGTCAGTCTTGCTTGCGGCAGTCTTTCAGGCATTGCCTCATCAACAGGTTAGTGATCTGTGACAGTCGGTTTGAAGCATAAATAGATGGAACATCTATTAGAAATATTATGGCGTGATGGACAGTGGAGAATGTATTTGCATTAGTAGATTCAGTACCAAATTTTTATGTACATTGTGGTTATGAACAATACTCCATGTACGATGCCTTTAAAACCTATATAAATTTCTGAAGCGGATAGATGGAAAATTATGTTAGGACTTTCCAATTAGTTTTCTAGAATCTAGCAATAAGATTTCGGATTTGTTCTTCTTCTGAATGATTATTTTTTGCGCTTGTTTCAGCAACATTCCCTTTGGATCTTGTAAGGCGAAGAATGCAGTTGGAGGGGGCTGGTGGTCGAGCCCGCGTCTATAATACGGGCTTACTTGGGACTTTAAGGCACATAACGCGGACTGAAGGCCTGCGGGGCTTGTATAGAGGGATAATGCCAGAGTATTACAAGGTCGTTCCAAGTGTAGGAATTGTCTTCATGACTTACGAGACATTGAAAATGCTTTTTGCCCGCATCCAATCAAGTGACTAGTTGCCTCTAAATTTCCCGTTTTCCGCCACTCGGTGGGGGTTTCCCGACATACGAAGGTAGGGGAGAGGATAAAGTTGGTTAAAGACACAACTTAGAGCAATAGTTGTGGTAGTTTGAGAAATATTGTGGTGGTAAATTTTGCTGCTGCTGCTGCCGCCGTGTGACCATATTGTTTATTCTTGTATAGGTTAGTTTAGC